ATACTTATTCCAGCAGGTGGTGCTGTATGCCAGAGATAACTGGTCAGTAGCTGTTGAGTACCACAAACTTAGCCACTCCCACCCACACTTCTATCAATGACTGGACTCCTGCTAGCCCCTCCCCAACCCTCCCCCTCCCCCCCCATTCAACAGCTACTGACCAGTTATCTCTGGCATACAGCACCACCTGCTGGAAAGGTGCACCCTTAGTACATTTGAAGAATGATGGTATCATCTCCCAGACTTCAAACTATAGTACAATGCTATAATAATCAAAACAGCATGGTATTGGAACAAAAGCAGACACACAGACCAATGTAATAAAATTTAAAGTCTAAAAATAAACCCACACTAACATGGACAATTAGTTTACAACAAAGGAGCCAATAGTATACACTGGAGAAAAGAAAGTCTCTTCAATAAGTGTTATAGGAAAAACTGGACAGCCACATGCCAAAGAATGAAATAAGACCACTATCTCACACCCCACCATATACACAAATTAACTCAAAATGGATGGTAGACTTGAAACTGTAAAATGCATAGCAGAAAACATAGGCAAAACACTCCATGACACAAGCTTCACTGATGTTTTTGTGGATTCATCTCCAACAGCAAGAGAAGCAAAAGAAAATATAAATAACTGGGATTATATCAAACTAAAAAGTTTCTGGACAGTAAAAAATAATAAACTATCACTAAAGCAAAAAGACACTCTACTGAAAGGGAGAAAATGTTTGCACACCATACATCTGACATGGGACTGATATGCAAGATCTACAAAGAACTTATACAACTCAATAAAAAGAAAATAAATAACTCAACCAAAAAATGGAAGGAAGAGCACTTGTCCAAAGATGACATACAGATGGCCAACAGGCACAGGAAAAATGCTCATCATCACATATCATCTGGGAAATGCAAATCAAAAATACAATGAGTCACCACCTCACCACTGTGAGAATGGTCCATATCAAAAAGACCAGAAACAGCAAATGTTGGTGAGGGTGTGAAGAAAAAGGAATCCCACTGTTGGTGGGAATGTAGACTGGTCCAGTTCCTATGGAAAATAGTATGGAGATTTCTCAAAATATCAAGAATAGATCTACCATATGATTCAGCAATTCCATTCCTAAGTATCTATCCAAAGAATGCAAAAACACTAATTTGAAGGGAAGTATGCACTGCTAAGTTCATTGCTTCACCATTTACAAGAACCAAACCTTGGAAGAACCTAAATACCCAAAGACAGATGAGTGGATTAAGAAGATGGTGTATTTTGCACACAACACTAATGATAAAGGACAGATCACAAAAATCTACAAAGAGCTGATGAGACTCAAAAAAAAAAAAAAAAAAAAGAAAAAAAGAAAATAATCCAGTCAAAAAATGGGCAGAAGAGCTAAAAAGAAACTTCTCCAAAGAGGAAATGCAAATGGCCAATAGGCATATGAAAAAATGTTCAACATCAGTTGTCATCAGGGAAATGCAAATCAAAACTACAATGAGATACCATCTTACATCAGTGAGAATGGCACATATTAAAAAAACTAGCAACAACAAATGTTGGCGAGGATGTGGAGAAAAAGGAACTCTCCTGCACTGTTGGTGGGAGTGCAAAATGGCCCAACCACTATGGAGAGCTGTGTGGAGATTTCTTGACCTACTAAACATAGAGCTTCCATATGATCCAGCAATTCCACTCCTAGGTATTTACCCAAAGGACACAAAAACATTAATTCAAAAGGGCAGCTGCACCCCTATGTTTATAGCAGCACTGTTTACAATAGCTAAGCTATGGAAACAACCCAAATGCCCAAAAACAGATGACTGGATCAAGAAGATGTGGTACATATATACCATGGAATATTACTCAGCAATCAAAAAAGATAAACTCATGCAATTTGCAGCAACATGGATGGCGCTGGAAGGGATCATGCTCAGCGAAATAAGCCAGAAAGAAAAAGAAAAATACCAGATTGTCTCACTCATAGCAGGCATCTAGAAAACCTCAATAAGGGACCAGGAAAAAGACTCATTGCAATAAAGTAAAAATCAAAATCAACAAGCAACTATAGACCAGAGACACAGTACAGTGGGGGGGGGGAGGAGAAGAGGGATTAGGGTCAGAAAAGGGGGGTGGGAATTGTATGGGGAATATAACCAAAATGAAAATGCATACATTATGCAAAAATGAAAAATGATGTAAGAATTATGTAAAATAAAATAATTCATAAAAAAAAAGAAGATGGTGCTATATATACACAGACTACAACTCAGTCATAAAAGATAAAGTCTTGCTTTTTGCAACAGCATGGATGGAACTGGAGGGCATTATGCTAAGCGAAATAGGTCAGAAGGAGAAAGACAAATACCAGATTGTGTCACCTAAATGTGGAATACAGAGAAACAAAAACAAAGGGTCAGATAAAACCTAGCCAGTTACACACCCTAGAAATCTGACTGTAGAATTGAGGTTACCAGGGTGGGAGAGGGAGGACAGAGAGGGGAAGCAGCACAATGGACTATGTGGGTGCCTTGGTGGTGGGTGTGGTGTGATAACATGCACCCAAGGAGTGTGATCCTGTAACTCTAAATCATATACAGCATTGTAATCCAGTGTTGTCTCAATTTAAAAAAAAAGATTTTCTTTTTTTTTTTTTTTATGTAGGCTTTGTAGCAGAGCAAACTTGGATGCAACTCTTGGCTCTACTATCTACTTACTGGTAAACAAATGGTAAACTTAACCTCTCTGAGACTCAGTCCCCTCATCTGTATAATTGGAATAATAATAACTCAGTAGCCAGAGGCAGAGGTGGGATAGTGGGAAAACAAAAGTCAGAATTGAGGGGCCTCCCTGGGGCCACAAGAGGTTAAGACACAGCACTATGAAGCTGTCCGCAGCACCTGCAGCACAAGTTTGATCCCAGGCCAGGCAGGTGACCCACATGGTGCAGCAGACCTCTCCTGACTCGCTCACTGCTCCCCTCAGCAGTGTATTTCAGTCAATCAGCCTGTTCTGCTCCCCTCTCTGGTGAATCCTCTCACCCTCCCACACCTCTGGCCTGTACCCCAGTTCTTGTATGCATAAATAAATCTTTTAAAAAATGTTTTAAAAGAAGTCAGAATTGAGTTCATGAAATTATAAGTTATAGAAAAATAAAACATAGATAAGTAAAATTTGCTTGCGTGCTTACTTTGATACTTTTTAAACATTTTGTATGCATTCTATTATTCTACACTGTATAATATTCTATACATGTCGCCTGCTTTTATTCTCTAACTCTTCTTTTTGTTGTGTCAATTAAGCTAAATTAGTACACTACCAGAAAAGAAATACCACTATTATTCATCCCAAGAAATTTATCCCAAGAATTTAATCCCAAGAAAATAATCAAAATGTACATGAAGATATTTTACAGAATAATTTATATTGGTGAACAATTAATCTTAAAATATATCAGTAAATTCAATGCATATGAAAGGAACGCGTAGGTAAAGGTATGTATAGATAAGGAAAGTTACCCATATTATACCATGAAATGGAAATGCTGGCTTTATTTTACAATGAGACTATAACTGTGCCGGGAATTGTCATTAAAGCAAAATTAAGAAACTAAAGAGCAACCTTTGTATCATTATACATACCAAATAATAACAGAACTGGTAACTGGGACTTTCTAACTGGGGGTTGAAGATTATGGAAAGACTTCCATTTTCTCTATTGTTTGAAGTCCTTACCGTAATAAGCATTATAGTGTTAGAAAAGTGGTTGAGATTTTTTTTTTTTATAGAGGCATGTTTTTCTTTCTTTATTTGTTTGCTTGTTTGTTTGTTTTGTTTATACATGCACTGGGTACAGTCAGAAGTGCGGGAGGGTGAGAGAATTCTCCAGAGCCAGAGCGGGGAGCAGAGCAGGCAGAAGGACCGAAGTACACTGCTGAGGGGAGCAGCGGGCGGCAGGAGAGGTCTGCGCGCCATGTGGGACCCTCCTCCGGTGGCCGGGGAGCAGCCGGGGATCGAACCGTCGCCGTAGAGGCCGTGGGCAGCTTCGCAACCCAGCGCTCTACCGCTGCGCCACCGGGGAGGCCCGAAAAATGGTTGAGATTTTTGAGAGGCTTTTCTTTAAATTGCCTTCCCAACCCACCTTAACCTTTCCTCACTTACCTGGGCCTGTAGTCCCGCTACTCAAAGTGTGAGACTTGGACCAGCAACAAAGACATCACCTGGGGAAACAGAACTGCAGATTCCAATCCCCCCCAAGCCCCCACCTCCACCCTGTGCCCCTACTAACTAGGATCTGCATTTTCACAGGAGCCACCTGATAACCTAGGCACCTGGTAACCAGAGCTAAGCACCTGATAACCAGAGCGCTGAGCGAGAACCGAGCAGAGGGCACCGCCTCTCTCTCTAGGCCTGTTTCTCTCCTACTCAAAGGGACCATGACCGAGGTGTCAGGGGTCCCCAGATTCCCTTCCGGTTGCAGTTTTCTAAGCTCATTTCTTGTGGTTACCTGCGTGTCTACAAAAAGGCAGCTGGTGAAACTCCAGGATGCGCGGCCTGGCAGCCCACGGCGGATGCAGGTTGGCACTGACGCAGCCTCGCTGCAAGCCGGGCAGAAGGCTGCTCGGGCCGTCTCCGGGGGCTGGGGCGGGAGCGCGCCCAGCTGGGCCAGGGTGGCGGTCCGGGTGGTCCGAGGGCGGCAGGAGGCGCTGCGAGGCGGGCGGTGTCAGGACCCGGGGGCATGCAGGGTGCAGGGCGGCCTCGGGGCGGCAGCAGGCACCGCGATGCCCGCGCAAGGCACCGGCCGGGACCGGCTGGGGCGCAGAACGGCCTCAAGGTGCCGGGGGCGCTGCGGAGTCGTGCTTTGCTAGGGTTGCCGCGCCTCCTGGGGCGCCCCGGGAACACACCTGGGCAGGTGGGGGCGGCGCCCGGGGGAGGGCTCAGGGGCGGGGCCCGTCCCCGGCCCACAAGAGCGGGTGGCCCCGCCGGCCCGCGATGCCCCTGCTGGACCGGGAGCCGAACCGAGCGCACGCGCCCCGGACTTCTCGGAGCGAGCGAGGTGAGCCCAGCCGCGTGGGGTCCGGGCGCCGGCTCGGGGGCTCTGGCCCGGGCGCGGCCGCGGGGCCCGTGGCTTCCCCGACGCGTCCGCGGGGGACAGTCCAGCCGCGGCCGCTCCGGCGTCGGGGCTGCAGGACGCCTTCCCCGCCCGGCGCGCCGGCGTCCCTCGCACCGGGGCCGGGCACCGCGGGCGCGAGAGGCATTGGTCAGAGTCAGGGTCTGCGGCCACATCTCGCCCTGCCTCTCCTGCCGGCACCTGCCCAGCCCCTGCCGGCCCCCGCCCCTCCTGGACTTGGTGGGGCACATGGCCTGACCCCGGCTGTTCCTCTTAGCCTCGGACTCTTGCTTCTGGGGAGGCCGTGGTTGCAGAAAGAAGCAAACACTTGAAGCGAATTGGTTGGATTCTCTGCGGTGCTTCAGCCCAGACTGCCCTGGGACAGATGTGGCTTCAGCCCAGGACGGCACCCGGTTGCCCGGGGACAGGGGCAGGGGCTGCAGAGGTGCCAGGAGGAGCCCAGGTCTGGCGCCCGGGGCCTGAGGCTCTGTCCTGTCACTGTGCTGAGGGGGTTCGGGGAGGAGGCAGTAAAATCCGGGTCGCGAGCCAGTACCTTGACACTGGGGAGAGAGTTTTTTGAGTCCTTCTTACACTCCTACGCTAGTTACCTAGCCTAGCCCCTCTGTACCTCAGTTTCCTCCTCTGTGAAATGGGTTAGTGCGAGTAGCTTACATAGTTACAATGAGGATTAAATAAGGTAAAGTGTATAAAGGACTGAGTAGGATGCCTCGGAATACAGTAAGGGATCAATACCTGATAGCTGCTATTTTTTTTTTAAGATTTATTTAAAGATTTATTTATTTATTTATTTATTTATTTATTTATTTATTTATTTATACAAGAGCTGGGGTACAGGCCAGAGGCATGGGAGGGTGAGAGGATTCACCAGAGACAGAGTGGGGAACAGAACAGGCAGAAGGACTGAAATACACTGCTGAGGGGAGCAGCCGGGGAGACAGGAGAGGTCTGCCGCACCATGTGGGTTGCTCCCTGGCTGGATGGGAATCAAGCCAGCACTATAGAGGCTGCGGACAGCTTCACAGTGCTGTGCTCAACCTGCTGCGCCACTGGGGAGGCCCACCTGATAGCTGCTATTATTGCTGTTGTTGATGTCATTATTTTATTTATATCATCATCATCATCATCATCATCAGAGTAGTAGTTGTTTGACTAGTAGTTGAAGTAGTATTTCAATTAGTAGTTGGAGATATGGCCTCCTGGGTTCAAGTCCCAGCTTGACCACTTTCTAGCGTGAATGTGGGCAAGTTCCTTAAGATCCTTAACCCCTCAGTGCTGTTTGATCTGTGTAAGGAGGGGAAATAGTGCACCTGCCTCCAAGTTGGTTGTAGACATGGAGTGAGTTAATACCTGGAAAGTCAGTGCTGTGTGGCCTCAGATTTAATCAAGAGTACAACCTAGCTAAGGACAACTTTGCTTTGCCTTGAAGTTAAAATGATAATTGTGATGAGCAAGACAGGTCCCCGTCTTTCTCATGCGGTTTCACCTACTGACATTGGCAGAAGATCCTATCAGGTTCATTGAGACCAGGGTAAGGGGCTGATGGGGCAGAGAACCCCAGGAGTTGTTTCAGCGAGAAGGTGGAGGGCCGGAGAGCAGGTGCTCCCAGAGTCAAAGTTTCCATTGACTATTTGCAACAGAAAGAAACTTCCCTGGGGTGCAGTTTCACTTGATAGGGAATTGAACGTGGACTTGAGTTTTAAGAACAAACAGCAAACTCTTGCTAACTTTTGCACTTTGGGATTGTGGTGAGAGAGGTAAAGATAAATGATAAAAATGAAATAAATTCCTCCTGCCTAGAGGCTCAGATAAAACTTTAAAAGCCAGAGATGGCTTCCCCATCCCAGCAAGATCGTATAAGTCTGCAGTTTGCAGTGGTTTGGCTGCCTCTAGGTGCCTCACCTCTGCCCCAGGACTCTATTTCCTTTGCCTCAGAAACCTGAAACCCACTAGCATAATAAATTTGAAAACCTCTTGCCTTAAGCCAGCTCCCAATTTTGAATCACATCCTACAGAGTCAGATGGAGAGAAAGTAGCTCCTCAATTTCAGAACTTCTGCCTCAACTTGATGGAGCCCACTCAAGTGCTTGTAGCAGACACAGAAACACCAGAGGCCTGGAGACACCCTGAATGTCCTGCTCCAAAATAGAGTATGCCTTAATTGGCCTTTGCAGACAAAGGGGACAGAATTTCCAAATATTGTCCCCCAGCAGTGCTCACAATTTTCAGAAAGTGGTTGTGTTTATTATCCTGAGATTGGAAGTTCAATAGCTCAGGATCCCTTCTCTTTCCGCCTCCCTTTAGCTCCAGGTGCTATTAATTACCTGTCTTAGGGAGAGGGTAGCACCCAGTACAATACCAGGCCCCTCAGAGGCATACACCGTCATGGTTAAGGCTGCCTGTTTCCAATCCAGCTTCCTCACTTACTAGCTGTGTGATATTACGTAAGTTACTCCACCTCTCTGAGCTCATTTTCCTTCTCTGTGACGGAGATAATAATAGCATGCCTACCACCTGGGGCTGTTGAAACATGAAATGTAATATATATAGATCATGTGTGTATATATAGAGAGACTGTGTCTATTTATGAGCTGATCAGACTATAACCACAAGGTGAGATCCTACTTACACCATGCACACACGTGTGGATTCGTTCATTTCTAAAAGGTGTGTGATTTCACATCATCCAGTTGCTGTCACTGAGGTGCATCACGTACATTGGTGAACAGGGTCATTTGCTTTCCAACACCCTCCCCTAAACTAAGCTGTTATCAAATCAAAGCGTATTCCCAAAATTAGTGGTGTCTTAGAATCAAGGAAATATGACACAATTCCTGGCAGCTATTAAGTGGCCAGCAGTGGAGGCTATTGTATTAGATGTTCTAGAAACACTAAGGGCTTGGCTATATAAAGAGAAGTAAAACAGAAATATCCTGTTTTCTGAAAAGCAGAGGGAAAAAGGGCTGGGAGAATTCGACCAGGGAGTGACTCAACCTGACCTAAGGTGGCTGCTGGAAAGTTCTCTTGGCAGATTTATCTGTCAGAAGCCATCTGCGGGGTGCTTTCTCTGTGTCCCACGCAGAGCCAGGCACCCAGGGATCTGACCAGACAGGAATGCTCCCTTGAGGAGGGTGGGCAGTAGAGGTGATAGGGCCAGCTAGCAATCCTCTCGTCCCTGGCTGAGCATGACAAGAGGTGCCGTGGCCCTGGGGTTGTGTGGAAGGCTCCCTCTCCAGTGGTGGAGGGAAAGGCCCTTCAAACCTGTCCAGTGATTGATTCACAGGTTGGGCTGGGCCTATAGGGCTGGGCCTGGGGGCAGCTCTTTGGCAGTCGTGGTGGCCCCAAAACAAATATCCTGGAGAAAGAGCCAAGGCTCCCGAAGGCAGCCCAGAGAGCACGTGGGCTGGTGTTCCAAGCCCCCCACCTGGTGTTCCCAGCCCCGCACCTCCGGCCCCTGCCAACTGGCGGGGGTGGTGAGCTCACCTGCTTTGCTTTTCTGCCTCTCCAGCTCCCCAGTCCCATCCTCGCCATGGCTCCGGGAGAGAAGATCAAAGCCAAAATCAAGAAGAACCTGCCCGTGAGGGGCCCTCAGGCGCCCACCATCAAGGAGCTGATGCACTGGTACTGCCTCAACACCAACACGCATGGCTGCCGCCGCATCGTGGTGTCCCGCGGCCGCCTGCGCCGCCTGCTCTGGATCGCGTTCACTCTGGCCGCTGTGGTCCTCATCATCTGGCAGTGCGCCCTCCTGATCTTCTCCTTCTACACCGTCTCTGTCTCCATTAAAGTCCACTTCCAGAAACTGGATTTTCCTGCTGTCACCATCTGCAACATCAACCCTTACAAGTAAGAGGCAGAGGCAGGGACCTGGCACACGAGTGCCCTCTTCAGATGCCTAAGCCCCCGCCTGCAAGAGACAGGCTCCCACCTGCACACGTGCTTTTTAGACATTTGAATTAGTGGCCAACATTGGGAAACTGGTTCTAAATCTGTCCCCAGGTCTTTATCTCTCAGCTGCTTCTGAGGATGGACTAGTTGCTGGAGAAGAGGAGGGGGTGGAATGCAGGATAATTGGGCTTGGAGGTTGGGCATGGAATGAGCTAGAACCCCCACCACACACACACACCATACCACAACACACACTAAACCAGCTTAGCCATTTCCCCTGATCTCTCCAAGTTCACACCCTCACTCTCCCTGGAATGTGAGCTTGAAGGTGACTCAGAAGTGACACCCAGGTGACTTGCATGGAAGCATCTCAGCTGCCCCAAACCCTTGTCTGCACAAACCCAGCCCCATTAATTGAGCTCACTGAGCCCTGAGCAGGCTCAACCCCTGGCTCTCTCCCTCTTGTCTGCCACGGGACCTGTTTTAAATGGGTCAACAGAGTCTGGGTCAACAGAGTCCTTCGGGAGGGTTGTTGAAAACTGATTTCCAGGCTGATCAGAGCACTTGCCAGGGAAGGTGTGGGGATGGGGGCAGGGAAGAGCAGGGAGGCAGATTCTTTTATTTATTTATTGAAAACTGATTTCCAGGCTGATCAGAGCACTTGCCAGGGTGGGGGTGGGGGTAGGGAAGAGCAGGGAGGCAGATTCTTTTATTTGTTTGTTTGTTTGTTTGTTTGTATGAGCACTGGTTACAGTCAGAAGCGTGGGAGGGTGAGAGAATTCACCAGAGCGGGGAGCAGAGCAGGCAGAAGGACCGAAGTACACTGCTGAGGGGAGCAGCGGGCGGCAGGAGAGGTCTGCGCGCCATGTGGGACCCTCCTCCGGTGGCCGGGGAGCAGCCGGGGATTGAACCGGCACTGCAGAGACTGCGGGCAGCTTCGCAACCCAGCGCTCAACCGCTGCGCCACCGGGAGGCCCGGGAGGCAGATTCTTAAAGGGCACTAATTGGTCCAGCATCACCAGCGAGTTGGTGGCAGAGCTCAAAATCAAAATCAGGTCTAGGGGCCTCCCCGGTGGCGCAGCGGTTGAGCGCTGGTTTGCGAAGCTGCCCGCGGCCGGTTCGATCCCCGGCTGCTCCCCGGCCACCGGAGGAGGGTCCCACATGGCACGCAGACCTCTCCTGCCGCCCACTGCTCCCCTCAGCAGTGTACTTCGGTCCTTCTGCCTGCTCTGCTCCCCGCTCTGGCTCTGGTGAATTCTCTCACCCTCCCGCGCTTCTGACTGTACCCAGTGCATGTATAAACAAAACAAACAAGCAAACCAGCAAACAAATAAATAAAGCATGCCTCTATAAAAAAAAAAAAAAAAAAAAAATCAGGTCTAGGACTCATCTTCCACTTCAGAGTCTTTCTTCTCTTTCTTCTTCCCTTCCCGCCTGCCTCCTTCTGTCTCTCTATCCATTCTGTCATCACTTACTCCATGTCTACAAACTGTCAGTGTGCGAGGTTCTGGGGCATAGAACTGAAGAACCCCAACACAGTCTTTGTCTTAGTAGAGCTTCTGGTGTAGTGGAGGAGGAAAATTTTAACAAATTTAATTACACTTATAAAATTAGTAATAGTGAATTTTAATTACATGTAAATGAATATAACAAAAAAAGCTAGTTAGCTAGATGTAACTAATGCAGTGACTCGTCTCAATAACCCCATTTTACAGCTGGGAAAACTGAGACACAGAAAGGCTAAATGTCCAAGGTCACAGATCCAGAGCCAGGATGGGGAACTGGAGCCCAGTCCATCTGGCTCTGGGTGTAGACACTCATTCGCTTGCCTGCACCCAGAGCAAGGGGGGTGAGGAGAGGAAACTTAAGAGGGAGACCAGGGCCAGGTAGTGCTATGAAAGTGACAAGATGGTGTTATTGGGCTCCAGGCACCAGTGCCCGTCTCACCCTGCTGTGCTGTGGGGGACTGTCGAGGTCAGAGCTGTGCTTCTTCCCTCCCTGGCCTGCTGGAGAGAGTCAGTGAGCCCGGGCAAGCATGCTGGGTGGAGACAGAGCCTGCCCCTGGTAGAGTCCTGGGTAGCAGTTATTTATTTGTCCTCACTGTGGCTGGTTTATGGGAGGCACCTGACAGTCACCACTCCAGAAATGCGGGTTGGGGCAAACTCATCAACACACCCCAAGAGCAAGCAGACATTGGTGGAGGCAGCGAAGCCACAGGAAGTCACACAAGGGTCATAGGCCTGTACCCATCTGCTCCAGCCAGCAGTCACTGGGGGTGAGATGAATCATGAAAGACCTGGTCTCCTCCCTGTGGGGGGCACACAGGGCTGACACACACTGTGGAAAGCAGGGAAGTGCCAGCATTTTGCCAGCGGGGTTCCTGATTTGCCAGCCTCTCCCTGATTGTTCCTTCCCACCTCGGTAGGTACAGCGCCGTGCGAGACCTTCTGGCTGACTTGGAACAGGAAACCAGGGCAGCCCTGAAGACTCTCTACGGCTTTTCAGAGGTCAAGTCTCGGAAACGCCGAGAGGCAGAGTCTGGAAGTTTGGCCTGGGAGGGCACCCGGCCCAAATTCCTCAACGTGGTCCCCCTGCTGCTCTTCAATCGGGCTGAGAGAGGCAAGGCCAGGGACTTTCTCACGGGACGGAAGCGGAAGGTCAGCCAGAGAGTCATCCACAAGGCGTCGGATGTCGTGCAGATGCACAAGTCCAAGCAGGTCGTGGGGTTCCAACTGGTGAGATGCTGGTCTTCACGGTTTGGCGCTGGGCTGGGCTGGGCCGGGCTAGGGGGAGTGGGTCCAGGGACACTTCTTGCCACTCACCCCTCTTGCTAGAAGAAACACACCCTGTTAAGGTAAGCGGGCTGCAAGCTACTGAAACCCATGGGGACAATCTCAAGCAGACAAAATTGTCTTAGAAGCAACCAGTTACTCATGGAGGCCTCTTTTTTTTTCTTCAATATTTATTTTCTTTTCTTACATCATTGTTCTCCCCTCAGGTGTAGCCCAGTGGTTCTCCCACCACCAGAGCACCCAAGAACTGTCCCCCAGTCCCTTGTTCTCTTGCCCGCCCCACTCTTTGACCCCTCTTGTATCCCCTCTCTTGCTGTTTGCCTCAAATCTAGGCTCAGTTTGCAAGTTTTGTCTTTTCTTGACTTTGTCTGATTTCCCTGTAAGTGAAACCATTTGATATTTTTCTTTTTTCTTTGACTTATTTCCCTTAGCCTAATCCCTTCCAGCTCCCATCCACAGAGTCCTCGTCAAGGACAGAAGTGAGGGGAAATCTGGGGATTGTGTTGGCAAGATGACGGAGTCATTTAGACCTGCTGCTGGGTTAAATAAGCTTCAGCTCTTTCCAGTTCTTTTGTTGATCCAGTCATGAAGATGGCTGCAGATTCCATCCTGTGGCTTTCTGATAGCTCACAAAGGGCACTGCATCTTAATGGACAGTTTCACCAGACTGTATCCAAAGGGGGAAATCCCAGCAAAGCGAAATTGGGGTGCAGACAGCATCAGAAGAAAATAGCTCATAAACAGCAGACACACCCAGTGTTCCCTGCAGTATGTCCCTTGGTGAGGTGCTAGAGCCCAACTCCTCATCTCTCCTTCTTAGTCGCCTGTGAGGGACTCTGAAGAAGTAACCACTCACTAAAAGTGAAGTCAATTACCTTCCTAGGCAAGCTCAATCTGCAGCTCCTCTCCACATCTGGCCACTTTTGTAGGATGAGAACCACTTCTACATCTTATACCTTAATTGCTGATTATGATAGCTCACAGCTCCAATCACAAATTCTGAAAAAATGACCCTTTCTCTTGGCATGGAGACTTTTCAAAGTTTTCTTGGGTCCTTTCACAAGATAACCACAGGTTCTCCTTGACTCCAAAATCAGTCTTTTGATGTCTACCTTTTAAGAGTGCTTCCAAGTCCTGTGTGATAAGAACATCGAGATTCACCATAGTTTCCCTACAGAGCTCTCATTATAAAGTGATAGGTTGAGAAGGATGGCATTTTTGTCAGCATTTTATAGGTGGAACCATGGAGACAGAATGTCTTACTCAAGATCCTGCAGAGAAGCAGGATCAAAGTCTTCATCAGAATTGAGTTCTCTAGACCACGGACCCGGTGGGAAACAGCGAGGGTTAGGCAGGAATGCCATAGCAGCCCTTAGCCAGAGCTGGTTGTCTGGGGACCTGATAAGCTGGCTTTGCTTCTCACCTGGTGAGCCGGAGTGGGGAATCATGAGGGTGGGGTTCTGTGGCCTTCCTTGCTCAGCCCCTTCTTAGCCTTTGGCTTGAGGGTGAGGTCTCCTAGTCCCCAGAAGTGAGAGGGAACAAATCCAACCCCAGATATTCTTCCGCTTCCTTTGAGTATCTGCTCTCTAGAGTCTCAGCTCCCCACCCTCGCAGTCCTGAGGACAATGGCAGAGCTGATGGCTCAGTGCAGTGTCTCCTCTTTTCAGTGTCCAAACGATACATCAGACTGTGCCCTCTACACCTTCAGCTCGGGGATCAATGCCATCCAGGAGTGGTACAAGCTGCATTACATGAACATCATGGCGCAGGTGCCCTTGGAGAAGAAAATCAACATGAGCTACTCTGCCGAGGAGCTGGTGGTCACCTGCTTCTTTGATGGGGCATCCTGCGATGCCAGGTCAGGAGAAGAAGGCTTTTCTCACAGGTCCAAGGACCCATGGCTCTGAGTGCTGGCCCCTTGCATGCCCCTGTAGCTCAGCTATAGGTCTTGGGAACAAAAGGTGTTCTTTTCTGACACTGACTTTTGAGAAGCAGCTGCACAGGAGGTAGGCTGTAGGGTTGGTGAGGATGGTGTTGATGGTACAGAGTTGAAACATCCTTAAACTTACCCTTAAACTCATATCCCTGGTGGTGAACGGACAGTGATGGGACATCCTCGGGGCTCCTGCTAGTCTGCAGGGTTTACTTCATTCCTTTTAAGTACCGGCGCTCTCTAACCTTTTTGTACGTTAGTAAATACTGGACCTTGTGAAAAATGAATGACCGGGGCAAATCTGATAAGATTCCTTCTCTGAGGACCATTTCCTGGGGCTGGAAATCAGGATGGAAAGATGTCAAGTAAGAAATTCAAGAGTAGAGGGGTTTGGGACAGATGTATTGGCACAAGGAATGCAGGTCCAGATAGAAACAGGTGAGAGGATTAAGAGGAAGGAAGAAAGTAGAGCCTGGTTCTACATCAGCATGTGCCAACCTGAATGAGGGGCCTTGTTTGTCATTTATCAGAGAAAAGATTGAGACAGTGAGTCATGTCTGTCATCCATTGTCCACAAAGAGCCCTGGCCCCGTTAGCACTACCTATCCTGACTTCAGCTCAGGGGTGCGAGAGGAGTTCTCATCACAGCCCTTTCTGACTCACGTTCTTCCTCCACAGGAACTTCACACTCTTCCACCATCCAATGTATGGAAATTGCTACACGTTCAATAACAGAGAAAACGAGACTCTCAGCACCTCCATGGGGGGCAGTGAATATGGTAAGACATCTGTTTGAGGGGACAGATGGGCATGTTTGATCCTTCCAGAGTCACAGGATCGCTCTACCTGGGCAGAACCAGGGGTAGACTTTCCTTTTGCCGTGTTTCCATGGGTACCATATTGCTTCCTTCCTTATTTGCCGATGGTCTGTTTTCCTTCTTGATGCGTCCTCCTTACTTGAGAGCACAGGACATGGCTACGCTTTCTTCTTCTGAGAAACCACTCTGGTTTAAGCTGGTCGCTAGAGTGAGTAATGTTGGCCATGGCTTCCAGATGGGTTAAACCCAGATAAGCTGAACTGGAGATTAGGGCTGCAAACATCTTTATCTTGGTTGAGATAACAGGTTCAGGAGCCAGCTCTGCCACTTGATGTGACCCTGTGCACGTTACTGCGCTTCATCTCTAAAGTGGGAATAACAATGGTATCTCTGCTAGGTTGTTGCAAGGGACTTAAAAATAGTAAAGCACTTAGAATAAGGCCTGACCCACGCTATTCATCAACTTGGGTCTCCATAACAAAATAACACAGGAGACTGGTTTACACCCCAGACATGGAATTTCTCACCGTGCTGGAGGCTGGAAGTCCATGATCAAGGTGTGGCGGAGTCAGTTTCTGGCTAGGCCACTCTTCCTGACTTGCAGTCAGTCAGCTTCTCTCTGTGACCTCACATAGCCTATCCTGTGTGTGGGAGAGAGAGAGAGAAAGAGAAAGAGATAAAAACCCAGTCTCCCAACACAGTCACTTTGGAAGTTAAGGTTTCAACATATGAATTTGGGGAGGGGGGTATATCTGAGTCCATAATGCATATCATATACACATATATGCACATATATACACATTATATATATACACCATATGCATACAGTATATGTTACGTATGTATGTAATATAAACACACTAAGCTGACATGCAAGTTGTGGTTATTAAGCTAGCGAGGCTGAGATTCTACCACTGCTACTCCTACGACCACCACCACTAATACCGTGACTCCCTCAAATACTATTATTACTACTATGGGTTTTGTAGGGAAGCAGGAACTCAAGGCTGACCTAGCTAACCCACAAAAGGAATTTTGGAAAGGTCCCAGGCAAACTGAACATAATTTAATATACCGATTTAATACGCTCACAAGGAAAGACAGGGCCTGTCGTGGAAGGCCACGCCTGGGCCCCTCGTCTTTGTCACCCTGTAGCCTGTGTTCCTACCGAGTCTGCAAGAAACCATAATTCAGGGCACACGCTTCCTTGGAAGAACTAGTCCGGCAACTGGGAGCAAAGAGTTGCATAGTCCTGGTTCTGCTATCTGAGCTGTGTGACCTTGAACAAGGCGAGGAACTCACGCTGTAGAAACAGACCAGTGCACCTGCAGCCTATTGAGCGAGGGGAGAATGAGGTGAGGGAGGGTGCAGGCAGGTTCTCCCTGGGTGGCACAGCAGTGAGGTTTGTGCATTTTATTCCATGGCATCCCATGCAGCCCATGGATGCCACTGAAGGGTTTCAGAAGGGAGTGACCTCATCTGATCTCTGATTTCCAAGGTAGTCCATGGGGGCGAGACCCAGAGCAGGGGGAGACATTAGACCAGCGATCAGACACCCCATTTGTGCTTCGTCTCTCCCTAAGGGTTCCAACCTCACCAGCGCTGCATGTCCCTTGGGATGCTTCCCAGAAGAACTCCCCATCTCAAAGCACCACGTGGAGATGTGCGTCTCAGGCAGCATAGCCATTCCTTATGGTCAGCAGAGCTGGCACTGGTTTTGAGCCCTTATTTTGTGCTGAGTCCCAGGCACATGGCAGTGAGCTGGGCAGGCATAACTCTCATTGGAGAGTTTCATGTGTACCCCATGGAGAGTCTCATGCCAATTTTCACTCATTGGAAATGTCTTGAGGTTTGCAAAGCTGCGGGAGAGGTAGGCTACCCCCAGGAAATGTTTCCCTAAGCCCTCACCCACAGCAGGCTGCCTTGTCCTCACAGGGCTGCAGGTCATCCTGTACATAAATGAAGAGGAATACAACCCCTTCCTCGTGTCGTCCAGCGGAGCTAAGATTATCATCCATCAGCAGGGTGAATATCCCTTCATTGAGGACGTGGGGACAGAGATTGAGACTGCGATGGCCACCTCCATAGGGATGCATCTGGTAAGAGGACATTCTCATTTCTGCAGGCGGGTGAGGAGGACACGTTGTATTCACAGATAAACAATCTGGTGCAGCTTATGGAAAAGGGTGTTGGTTTCAAAAGGTCCCGTATCTCCAGTGGTCATTCCAATGCCTCTGTCCCTTCTGTGTGGATGAAGTAGGACAGGATGCCATATTGGGAAGGAATTTAGGGAACATTCCTTGCTGGAGCCTATAAGAAACCTGTGCAGGCCTGAGACTATTGTCAGTAATGGAAATAGAGCAGATTAACACCTTCTTCCTGGGCCACCCAAAAGCCTATGGGACATGCAGTCCACAATTTAGAGGCAAATGGAGTCACCGGGTCATCAAAGCTCTAGTGAGCCCATCACACTCCCATCGGGTTCACCTCATTTAACAACAAGTCTCTTGTGCCTCATCTTTGACCTTCTCTGACCTTCTTGGGAGCTGAGAACACTCAGACCTATCAGTGGAAGAATATCTGGGCTGCAGACGCCAATCCCAGTGAGAACAGAGGGCAGGGTGAGGAATGAGTTCTGATGTCCCTGATCGCCCCACCGCAGTTCTGTGGTTTGTAGATCTGGGGTCTTTCTCTCTCATAGAATGAAAATCAAGAACTTGTAAGAGAGACTATTGGCACAAAATATTAAACTCAAACCACACCAAGAAGCATACCAGGCAGATGCCTCTTCCTTCCATCCCTGGCCTCCATCTTCTCCACCCTCTGTCACTGTCACCTCTGTGTCTTGGCAGGGGTGTCATAGTCTTCTAGAAGCATAAGCCTTTCTCCTTCAGTGCAAAAACAAAATGCTGTTCTTCCCCATTTTTTGCTCAATCTATAACTAAGAAATAGTTCCTTATCAATCCATATAGATCTGCCTCATTCTTCTTAACTCATTGAAAATGTCTTCAACTATCCATTGTGTGGATAAGTTATTGATGAAAAATTCCCTGTCGATAGACATTAAGTCATTTCCAGGCATGACTGGAAGCCACAGTGCAATGTGACTGCTTCCTAGAAGGAAGCCAAACAGTGTGTGTCTTTGACAAAATACCCTCCGTGAGGTGGTAGCCATGTGCAGCCTCAGCACTGCATGAGAGTAGCTGTTCTCCACACTCTCACCAACACAGGTATCACCCAGCTTTTAATCTTTGCTGATCTCCAAAAGAAAAATAGTGTTTACTATAACTTAAGTTGGCAGCCCTCCTCAGCGGCATTTTCCCCCCTGCTTGTAGGGGGGAAAAAAATCTCCTTGTGGACTGTCTGGGTGCAGCTTTGTCCAACATTAATGTCCCAAATTAAACATCATGGCCTTCATCCTTACAAATGTGTTCTCTAGAGCAGTGGTTTGAAAACCTGGTTGATGATCAGACTCAGGCCTACTGAATCAGAATCACTGAGAGAAGAGTCCACGGATCTGGGCTTTTACCTGATTCCAGTGGATATTCTAAGGGACAGCAAACTCGGAGACTTCACCTTTAGAATGTGAATCTGAATGAGAGGAGAGGGCTTGTCTTTCAAGTGAAAGTGAAGCTAGGATGACACAAAATGTCTCGCACGGCCATGTGATGGCTTCATATTGGGTCATAAAGTGGGCATTGGGGATTGCACAGCCACCCACATTCAGCGAGCGTTTTCTGAGCCCTTCTGGGGTGCTAGACATGAGGACGACATCCACGTGGAAGACACTGTCCCTGACCTGTTGGGACCTAGAGTCCAGCAGAGAGGGTAACAAACAAACAAACAAACAAAATCACACAGATTCTAATTGCTATAAGTGCTGAGGAAGCGAAATGCAGGGTGCCCAGAGCATATCCTGGAGTATCTGACCTAGGGCACTTTTTTTTAATGGGGAAAGGGAGGAGTTCAAAAAATGCTTTCCTGGGGATGTGATATTTAAGTTTAGACTTCAGAAATGAGGAACTAGAATGATGGTGCTCTGGAGGAAATCTGTGGGTTCAGTGTCTCATGGTGTCCCAACAAAGGCAGCCCTGGGCAGGTCAAACCACCAGGATGGCTGTCTGGGAGCCCAGGTATCCCCCGAAGGCTTGTTGTTCAGGGACTTTGTCCCAATGTTGGGAGTTTGCTCCAAAATGAGCAGCATTGTGTACCAGCGTAGGCTGTGTGGGTGCTGATTACCCAAGAAAAAAATTTTATGTCCCAACCTGCCCAAACCATGGCTTGACAAGACTGTAGGGCCTCCCTGCAGGAGCTGGGTCATTGATTCCTCAGCTGGTTGCAAAACTCCCAGATTAGAATAGCGAACATTTTGATCCAGCATTTCCCATGTGGTTTTGACTGCCTCCTGAAGAAGGAGCTGGAATTTGTAGCACTTTCTTACCACATCCTTTTGCCCCTTCTTTCCTTCTGCCCCTCACGGTGTCTACAAACTTGCATGAGTTATAAGCTTGGAAAAGCACAAAAACTAAAAAGTTGAGCCCTCTGATTTCCTTCTCTGAACTTAGAAATACCCATCACATTGTTAAGCAAATATTTTCTTTCCAAATGGTGGATAAACAAAGACATGGGTGGGTTTTCTGCTACACCTAATTTAAGATGTACAAAATTAAGGCCACAGAACAGGGTCAGTCAGCTCTAGTTTTGATTTATGAGCATTCAGAACAACAAAAAACAGGGATTACTAAGAGGTCAGCAGGGGGTCACTAAGAATAAGTCCAAACAAGCTAGACTTCCTTCCTTTCTTATTTATTTATATTTTTTTGATAGGAGTGTTAAGTTGGTAGACTTAGTCCATTGGGTAGGCAGTTTGGTTAACAAATCTTTCTTCATTCATTGAAGAACATTGTGTGTCCAAAGCACAGGATATTCTGAGATGAATACAGTAGAGCCCCTTACTTTTAAAAAGAGATCTTACTTTTAAAGATCTTACTTTTAAAAAGAGAAAACAATACACTTTTGCAATATAGTTCCCACCTCTGTGAGGACAGAGACCTGCTCTATCTTGTTCCCAACCTTAGTTGTTAGAACATAGTAGATATTCAATAAATTGTTGGCTAGATGGGAGTATGAATGGATGGGTGGGTGGGTGGATGGTGAGGGTGGATGGGTAGCTGTCAATGGATGCCCAGACAGAAGCTGTCAGAGAAGGTTTTGTACACGATGGGTTTCTGAAGGACAAGTGTCAAACAAATAATGTCAGAAAGAGCTAGTCCAGCAAAGGGCATAACAATTACAAAGGGACTGCAGAAAAGATTTCAAGCCATGTAGAGAAACTTTTTGAAAAACCACTTTGGTTGAAGTGAAATCAATATACTGGAAGGCGCACATTCAAAGTAATTCTAGAAGAAAATGAAGACCTGGTCTGAGGCGACAGCTCCAGGGATGGGCACAGTGAGTAGTTCGAGAAAGACTACAGGATGCGAGCAACAGGGCTTGACAACTTAGGTCAGTGAGAAACGGAAGTTGGATTGATATTTAGTTCTGGGTTAGGCAGTAGATGGAGGTGCCAGGCTCAGAACTAGGAAATATAAGAGAAGGGGAAAGTTTGGGGCAGAAGATGACCGCTTCGGTTTAAGACATCCCCAAGTTGTTGTGCATTTGGGAAATCAAGGTAAAAATGTCCAGTAAGTAGATGCTATGAACCTGGAGCTCAGAAGAAAATCATGTTGGCAGGTGGCTGGAGGGAGGCGGCATCTAGTGTAATCCTAGACTTGGAAATGCCATCACCCAAGACATAGTGAAATATTCTAGGACTGAGTAGAAAGAAAATGCAGTTAGAGAGTCAGAGACAAAGGAGCAGAAACCGGAAAGAGAAAATTAAATCAAGAAAGGGCGTTCGAGGAAGGTGCAAACCCAGTGCAGTGGGGAGGTCAAGCAACACAAAGTGCGAGAGGTGCTCTCGGGGTTTGGCCGCCACGAGGTCACTGGTGTTCTTTGCCAGAGCAGTTGTCAGTGGGAGAAGCGGAACAGAAACCGAAGCACAATGGGTTCGATCGTGAACCAGAGAGAGGAAGCAGGCAAGAGCGGACAACTCCCCCTGGGGAGGGGGGGGTGTGTGTGTGTGGAGAGGGGCAGACTTCACAGCCACGGCCAGCCTGGACTGGGCACGCTTCACCCCTTCTCACGAGCATGTGACAGGGATTACGTGCAGAGGCTCTGGGGCCAGACCAAGGATTCAACACCCATCTTTGTACTTTGGTTGCATAATCTGTAACCTCTGTAAAAATGGGGATAATGATTCCATCTGTGAGAAGCACTAGCGTGTCACCCACGCAAAATATTGGTTGTTGCAATACATTTTTAAAGAAAAGAGACATAAAGGGAAGGAAAACGGAAGTTGAAGCAAAAGGAGGTGTTCAGGAAGGGCTTTCTTCTGCGACACCCTCCTGACAAGTGAGGCTTGGATTTCTTCCATACATGATGCGAAAGTCCTTGTCATCTACCAATATCTCCCCAGGTTATACTTTCCCTTTCATTTTCTTTATGCTGCCATTTCTCATGCAGAAACATGGATGTTTACATAGTCAAAATCTTTGTTTTCCTCTTTAGTCATTATGTTTATTGAGGATTTTCCCTCCCTCAGATCAAATATTGAGCTGGATTTTCTTCCAGTTACTCTATCATTTCATCCTTTCATGTGCTACATTTTTTTTTTTTTTTACTGCAGGCTGTGGAGATGGAATTTATTACTTCCTCCAAGTGTTAACAAATAGTTCTGTGTTCATAGATGGAGTAATTCTTTTTCTCGTCATTGATTAGAAGCCTATATTTTATCTTACCTAATACCTTTTTATAACGCGTGCAGTATAAAAACAGAACAAAAGAGAAAGAAAGAGTTAAACCATGCATGATACCATCTAGGCCTCGTCTTGCCATCTGGCTTTTTTCCTAAGCACAGTTCATACCTTAGAGAGGTGAGTTCAGAGCTTCTGGGCAACTTCCCCCTTCCCCATACACATACACACACACGCTCATATAAGCACATATGCACACACACACACACATTCACATACACATTCTCTTTTTTGTGCCTCTAGGGAGCAGGACAGAAGACGAAATGTTTCCCACCCTCCACAGATGAGCATTCTGGAAAGCTGACAGTGGAGGTGGGGGAGAGAAAGAGGAAAAAAGAAGGGAGCAGAGAGGGAAGAAAGGCCAGAGAAAGAGATCTGTCTAGTTCACCCAGTTGAGACTTTGAGAAGCTACAGACCTCTGTCCCCCTCAAAAAAAGGCCATCTGTCTCACCTGCCCTACCCCTAGCTGCTTCAGGAAGCAATGCGAATAACCCAGAAGCTCTGCGTTCGATCAGTATCGTTAAGAGTAAAGGGCCATTGAATACTCAAAAAGCAGAAAAAGCAAAGCAATTTCTCACAATCAGTTTCCTGGAAGTGGCCCATGGGCTGGTTCTCGATGTAGAAGGAGCCCCAGCCACCTCTGCCAGCCGCACACAGTTTATCCAAATGGCCAGTCCCTCCCACCTACATGCCAGGGCAGGTAGAGCCTGTAGCTGATACCTGGGCTCTGGGGACAGCTCAGCCAGACCTGGGGACTCAAAGGAGCCCAGGGACCCTGCTGCTTGGAATAGCTTACAGAGTGGCACTGAACGGGGGTGCCCTCGAGGGAAGGCACTGCTCAGACTCTCTGTGCCCCAGTGCCCAGCCCAGCCCTGGCGTGTGCTAGAAACTCTGTTTGCTACCCAGCTATTAGAGGGATGACATCTGTTTATTCTGTGCCGAGATGGCTCTCTTTTTATTGTTAATGGGGAGGGCAGTCCGCCAGGCAAGGTGAATATGTCCGTCTGTCTGGGATGTGGCGGGTGATCTGTTAGAGTGGGTGCCCTCGCTAGAAGAGAGGCGCACACCTGCCCACTGCTTTCCTCTTTGTTTGCTTCTGCTGTTTAAATATTTTTAAATGAACGCCCGTCAATTACCTGGAGGTACTTGCAGTTAATTGAGGGAGGCTAATGGGTCAGCAGATGAATTACAGTATAAACAGAAAGGGATTACAGCCACTTGACATGTCTGCAGTTTCTACCTGCTTGGAAATTCTTGATTCCTTTCTTGCTCCCAACTGTCTTTCTCTCTGTCCAGCCACTCGTCAAAGAAAAGAGAATTTTCTTCCCTCCCACAAACCTGCCAACCATTTCGCCTGTACCCCACACTCCAGACAAAACTGTGCCCCCCGCCCCCTGGAGCCTCGCCATAAGCTGGTCTTGATTGGATATTTTATCTGTCATCGATCCACCTCCCACTCCTTCCATGTTCTTCTTTGTCTTGTTTATTCACAGTGACAAATATTCAGCTGGAGCCAAAGTTAGCGAACCACATCGAAATGTAATTTCAGAAGGTTTTCAACCACAAGTTATGAGGGCCCTACATCTGCTGAGCTGGGCTTCCTTCTGTCCTGTTGGGCATTCTGTTGCCCTCGCGAGGAAAGGCAGTGTCTTCCAAGTCAAACTCTGGGGCAGAAGATAAGAGGATCCCCAACTGGGAGGATCCAGAGCCCCCCAGAGAGCACAGTCACTGCCTGTCTTCCCAACCCCCCTGCGTCCTCCCTGGGGATTCTCCCACAGCTCCCACCATTCTGAAAGCCAAATCCACGCTCCTCAGCACGGCATAGGACACCCACTTCATCTGACCTTGACCTTCCTCTTCGACGTCATCACTAATGACTTCTCTCCCATTTGCCATGGTCCAGCCACACCCTGACCCTCACCCACCCCTAGTCTTGGCTGCTCCCACTGCTCCATCCTCTTCCTCCATTTCTTTGGCAAGGCCAGCCCTTTCTGGCCATTTCACATTGAGCCCCCCTTGTCCCTTTCTCAGAGACCTCTCCCCAAACGATCCTCTTGGAAAGACTCCCCTCTACCCACCCCTCCAACCTCTCTCTCCAGTTTCTTGTTGGTTGATTGATTTGCTGGTTCCCCTGCCAGAATGGAAGCCCCACGAGAGCAGGGCACTTGTCTATTTTGATCATTGTTGACTCCATGGTGGCTCAACCAGGAGAGGCCAGGCACCGGGCAGGTGCTCAATAAGTATCTGTGAGTGATTTACTAGGCGAGCGGGGGTTCATGACTAGCCAGGGCTGCTAGCAAAGCAGCCGCTCTGGGCCGGGGGAGAGAGGGCTGAGCCTGCGCTGCTCTCATTGCAGACTGAGTCCTTCAAGCTGAGCGAGCCGTACAGCCAGTGCACGGAGGACGGGAGCGACGTGCCGGTCAAGAACATCTACAAGACTGCCTACTCCCTGCAGGTATGGTTGGAGGGGGCACCCAGCCCAGTTGTGGCCTGGCCCCAGGAGACCAAGCTGTATGTGGAGGCAGGGGTGTGTCTGAGACCAGGAACTCAGTGAGAATCCTTGGGGTTCATCCAAAGACCTCAAGAACCGATATGCCAGCTGGTTCCAGTCCTCTTTACTCCGTCTGTAACCAGAGCTTAATTGATTCATTGCGTGGAACACAATGTACAGCTGAGACAAGCCTGTTTCCTAAGTGGGGCTCGGTGAGCGAGGGACAGGAGTGGAGCTGTCTGGGAGGGGTGTTGGCTTCGAGGTCAAGGGCGTCCAGATCCATGTGCACCCCTCCCCCTGCTCTCTCCCTTGCTGATGGCCTTGGGCAAGTTGTGTCAGCCCCCACAGGCACACGAGGATGTGGTTTTGGCTCCGGGCTGCTAGGGGTCCCCTCCAGGCTGCACACCTGGGCTAGATGATGTTAAAATGTCAGGGAATTGCACAAGAAAACTCAGATTTCCAGCTTGTCTTGAGAAATGAGAGGTGACCGTGTCGGGTCCATGTTCCTGCAGGAAAAATGGGGGTGGAATTGGCCCCATTCACAACGGGAGTATTATCAGGATCCCCACGGTCCCCACTATTCCCTAGTGTATTACTTACCTCTCTGGCCCCAGTAGGCATTTGAATTTGTCTCCTTTGCATGTAGTCATCCTGTCTCATGTTCTGAGAGTCTGCCAGCCGAACAAAAGGGCCAGGCTCCCCTCTGCTGAGTCCTCCAGCTTACATCAGAGCTGAGCTGAGAGGTGGTGGAGACACCGAGTAAAAAGAGACCATTAGTCAGAGACCATCTACTTGTAAGAAATAGAAATAGAATCAAACTGACTTAAAAAAAAAAAAAGTCAACTCCTGCATAATTTTTAGTGAGAGGCTATCAGGTACAAACACTTTATATACTATTTCTTCTCACAACAACCTCATGAAGTAGGTATTAGTATACTGATTTCAAAGAAACCAAAGTATCAGAGATGTTAAGAAACTTGCCTGAGGTCACACAGCTGAGAGGTAGAAAAGCTTGGATTCGAACCCAAGCAGCCAGAATTTAGAGTTCCTGTCATTAGCTTTTGTGTTGTAAGCTTCATGCAGCTTGTGGCAGTTTATGGTCCCCAAGGACTCCGTGTGCAGGGCATGAACCTGAGAACTGGAAAGTTGAGAACTATTTGTTTCTCTGCTTCTTGGCATCTCCTCTAGCTCTCCCAGCTCTGCCTGGTCTCCACATCTCAGTTAGTCTAAATTCTCAATAAATGTTCTAGTCTAGTCCCTTTGGAGTGATGGGCCACTCCTGGCCCAGTTGGAAATGGCATAAAAAGCCAATTTATGTGGTCGTTCAAGGAGCAGGGAGGATAACCTCCCTTCTTGCTGACAGTGTGGAGGGGGAGGTCTCTGGTACCCAGATGCAAAGTGATTTCTTTGTCTCTTTCAGATCTGCCTTCACTCATGCTTCCAGACAAAGATGGTGGAGAAATGTGGGTGTGCCCAGTACAGCCAGCCTCTACCACCTGCAGCCAACTATTGCAACTACCAGCAGCACCCCAACTGGAGTAAGACCCATCCCTGGCCCTGCACACCCCCTGGAACCCAGAGCTCCTGGGTGCCTGCCAACTATAGCCTTTTGCCTGAGAGAGGTATTGGTAGAGAGATTAGCAAGAGTTTCACTTCTGTTGTCAAGCCTGGCTTAATTCCCAGTTAAGGATCAAATGCTACGCTCCAGCCTGTGCTAAAAGCTTGATCACCCCAGTCAACTCCAGGAGGTAGGAAGAATGGCTGGGACCCTTTCATGGAACAGTTAACCGAGGCTCAGAAACATTCAGCAACTTGCCCAGGGTCACACAGCCAGGGAGTAGCAAAGCCAGCTCCAAACCAAAGGCTGCATCCCTACCTCACACCCTATGCCTCCACAGTATTCTGTCTCACGACATCCCAAAGCAGCATTTGTTTCCAGAGAACCATTGTTTGTAGAAAGCGGGAGAAGAAATTTAAAGACTAGGGGGGCACCCCTGGAGACCCCCAAGCAGGGCCCTGTGGCTGTGAAGTTCATAGTGCCCTCACTTTGCCCCTCAGTGTACTGCTACTACCAGCTGCACCAGGCATTTGTCCGGGAAGAGCTGGACTGCCAGACCATTTGCCGAGAGGCCTGCAGGTGAGCAGGTGGGAGGGATGTGACCAACAGGGCCAGGCTGGACCAGGCTGGGCCACCCATGCTCACTCTGCCCTTTTCCCCTTAGCTTTAAGGAGTGGACACTGACCACCAGCCTGGCGCAGTGGCCATCTACAGTTTCCGAGGTAAGTTGTTTGGCCCACTCTTCACCTGAGCCCGCAGCCTGGATCTTTGTTGATATCCTGGCTGTTCTGTCTGGCCCTGGAGGTGATCCATGGTCAGGGGGCTGGGGCAGGTAGGGGAGGGCAGAAGAGCTGGCCCTGGCCTCTCTGCACATCCCCAGGCCACCCCTTCTTTCTCCATCACAGAAATGGCTGCTGTCTGTTCTTACCTGGGATCAAGGCCAACAAATAAAGAAAAAGCTCAACAAGTAAGGTGACCCCTGCCCCTAGTGGCCCTAGGGCCCCCAGCCTCTGCATTGGCCTCCTCATTGCATGTCCTCTCCTTTTCATTCACTCATTTCTTTATCCAGCAAATATTTATTGAGCTTGTACTGTGAGTCAGATGCTGCTTGAGGCCTGGGGCTCTCAAACTTTGACCATGACCTAGAGCATGAAATTACTTTCTCCATTGGGGCCCAGTGAATATATCACTGAACTAAAGAGCCCCATGACCATGCATGGGACATTCAGGAGGCTCTCAGCCACGGCTCACTAGGCTAGCCAAACCATTTGCTCTCATCCACAACCGCTCACAGCCATGCTCTGATCAATTTATGTCCATGTCAGTTGTTAAAACTTCTGAATAGCTCTGTGAAGACAATCTGATATTTTCTATTGTATTTCGGTTTGTAGAATGTACTGCTCAGGGCTTCATCGGTTTCATTTATTCATTCATTCACGGCTCCCTGATGACCAGATGAAATACTCCTCTGAGGCTTGAAGCTTCTAATCACACTTGAATTTTTCACATAGAAGTTCAATTTCACGGGATATTTTAGCAAAAATCAGCCAAGTCAAAGTTCAGGGACCTCAAAAGAGACAAAGGTGGGAGAGGACAGTAGAACAGCCATAGGAACTCACCCCCTGGCCATCCCCACCATCACAGCGCCCAGCACTGGCCTGGCCTCCAACATGGACTGAGTAGCCACGGTGTAAAGTGGAGGGAGAAGCAGGGGAATCCAGCAGACATAGTCCCTGCCCCCAAGATGCTTACAGTCCAGTAATAAACTTTAAGCAAACAATTACAACTGATTAAACCAAAGATTGCAAACTGGTGACTAACCCCTAGGCCAAAAGTAGCCCATTATCTCTAATTTTCCCCAAAAGATCAAAAGTTCCAGCAACAGCAAATCTCTATTCTCGCACAGTATACCAAACAGCCGAGCAAGAGCTGCCCGACTAGAATACACGTGAACTTTCCAACTTGCCACAGTTCTACCAGGAGGCAATTTCATGGTTAAGCGCATGGACTCTGAAGCCACATCTAGCTACATTTGAATAGTGACTCTGCCCATATGGACTGTGTCGTCTTGGTTAATTTACTTAACGGGTGAATGGAGATGAGTAAAGCATCCCTACTTCAGAGGGGCATGAGAACTAGATGAGTTAATGCACGTAAGGCTCTTGAACGGTGCTTGACAATGCAGGACATGCCCAAAAAATGCTAGCGGCTATTATGGTTATTAATTATTTACATTATACCCAGCCTACCTTGCTCATTTACAATGCCTGTGTGACTCCTGTACTTATTTGAGATTGTAATCAAATAATCACAAATCAAGGTTTAATGAAGAACGGGGTGCATGGGAGGATAGCTAGGTGGTCTGACTTGGTCTGGAGGTGGCTAAGTGGTTTTTGAGGGAATGAATGGCCTGTACAACCAGGCCCAGGCTGGGGTTCTGCTCCAGAGGGCAGAAAGAACCTCCCGGACTAGATTCTGAGACCCTGTCGAGTTTAAAGCCTGGGACATGCTGGGGGTGGGCGAGAGAGAGACAGCCATGCTGAAGGGCTGCTGTTCTGGGAGTCCCTGACTCACCTGCACCCTGCTTGTTGGAATTTCTGCAGAACAGACTTGGCCAAACTCTTGATATTCTACAAAGACCTGAACCAGAGATCCATCATGGAGAGCCCTGCCAACAGCGTGAGTGGCTTCCTTCTAGGACCTGTGCTGGGTCTATGAATATGCACATCTGCCTGGCCCCGGGGGAGCAGAGTCAGGTCCTGGGGATCAGCCAGAGTTAATAGGGCTGCCAGAGCGGGTGGCAGAAGAGGGGACAAAAAGTCTGTCTGCTTCTTCTTCCAAACCTGTTCAGGGCCAGGGCTAGCTGGTGACTCCCTTTGGAACTGGGGGTCCCTGACTGAGGTCAACCTGGACAGGGTGTCCCTCTTGATGGTGTGGCTTGGCCTCCCTTGCAGATTGAGATGCTTCTGTCCAACTTCGGTGGTCAGCTGGGCCTATGGATGAGCTGTTCTGTCGTCTGCGTCATTGAAATCATCGAGGTCTTCTTCATAGACTCCCTCTCCATCATTGCGCGCCGCCAGTGGCCGAAAGCCAAGGAGTGGTGGGCGCGGAGGCAGGCACCTTCCGGTCCTGAGGCTCCCCCTGGGCCCCAGGGCCAGGATAACGAGGCCCTGGATCTAGATGATGATCTACCCACTTTCACCTCTGCTTTGCGCCTGCCTCCAGCACCCGGGGCCCAGGTACCGGGCACACCACCCCCCAGATATAACACCTTACGCTTGGAGAGGGCCTTCTCCAACCAGCTCACAGACACCCAAGTGCCAACCGAATCCTGAGGCAAATGGAGAGAAGAGATAGAATCGGGACTCCCAGCCACGGTCTGAGAATTGTGTCACCTGGACGCAGAGGGGACCCTTTGCAGCACCTCCGGACTTTTCAGAGACATTGACAAAGTCAGCTTAGACAAGGTGGTGCCTGGGTATTGGGGGGTCCCTGAGAACCCTGCCCAGCAACACTCAAAGCCTTCCAAGAAGAGATAGACCCTGCGGCCCCAAACCCTTAGCTCATCAGCTGCGGAGAGAGGTGGGGCCGAGGAGACAGTGCCAGCCCAGACAGAGACCAGAGTGAAGCCTGATCGAGTTCTTCGCCAGAACTTGAGAGAGAAAAACTCCAAGCTGTGAGCCAGGGGTTTCGCTTAGTCCCCAGCCTGGGCTTCAGCCCAAGGATGTGACTTAGGTATCAAGGCCAGAAAACAAAGCCTGGTGCCAAAGACAGGAGGACACGCCCGCCCTGGAGCTGTTTGTAAATCATCTGTTTTTAGTCATTGACATTGGGGTGAGGTCTCTGTGCCCTCAGGCAGGGAGCTGGCCCAGGTCCTTGGAATGTGCAAGGGGAGACTGCAGTGGCCAGAGGTCTGTGACCAGGGGGCCTCACTCTGCAGGAGGGGGTAGGTCATGTCCTGATGAGCTGAGCCTAGAGCCTCTCCCCAAGCAGAGAAGGGCAAATTAAAGGGCATTGCTGGGCACCCTTCCCAATGGTAGTCCAAGGCATCTAGGATTGTCTCCTGATAACCCACCTAGCTGCTCTCCCTCTAGGGTGGCCCCCTCAATGAATGGCCTGCCCTAACCCACTAGCCAACCTCCGCAGACAACCGGCCATGTTCACGCCATCAAATGGCTCCGACTTAACAGCTAACAGACATTAAGCACGTGGGGGGTTTTCAGCCAGAGCACCTGGCTGATCCTGACCTAAACGCTTGCAGGTTAGCAAACCAGGGAATTAGAAACGAGGACCTGACCCACAGGCCAAATCCCATTTTGTAAGCCATGACCTAAGAATGTTTTTTTCCCACTTTTAAGTGGTTTAAACTATTTTGTAACTCATGAAAATTGTATGATATTCAAATTTCAGTGTCCAAAAATAAAGCTTTATTGGAGCATGGTCCCATCTGTTGATTGACATTCTGTCCGTGACTGCTTTCACGCTCAGGACGGCCGGCGCGGTTGAGCAGTTGCAAGAGACTCTTTGGCCCACAAGGCCTCCAATATTTACTCTCCACTCCCCTACAGAAAAAAAGCTGCTGACCCTGATTTACCACACAAAGTGGGTAAGATTATCCCATTTTATGAATGGGAAAACGGAGGCATGGAAAGGTCAAGTTCTTCCTTTGGAAGTTGCTGACTAGGAGTCAGACTCCAGAGCCTGTACACTTCATCAGAAATATATTCTCCTACAGTTCTGGAAGCTAGAACTCTAGAAAGGGTCCTGCCGGCCTAAGACCAAGGCATCCAGGCAGGATTTATGCCTTTTGAGGCTGATGTCCGTTTGGGTGGGAAGAGGGGTAGGCTTCACACCTGGCTGAGGGACAAACCGACAGGCCTGCATTTCAGGGCTGCTTCTGGCATAGGCTACTGCTGGGAGGAAGTCATCTCAGGAAAGAGTAGGGCTACAGGACTCTGCCTGGATTCAGGAACACTTGGTCCCACCCCAAGCCAGGCCAGGTCTGCTCTAATGGTGCCTTCTGCTGCATGTAAGGGGGTGGGGTGGGGCTCTGCTCAGAGGCAATGCAGACAGCAGGGAGGTCACTGTGACCCCAGGCTGGTTGGAGCTCCCCTAAGGAGTGGACTGAGAAGCCAGGCTGATGCAGGCAAGCGTCAGGTTACACAGGGTGCGAGCCTGGCTCCTGTCCATGCTGGGCCGGGGTGGCTGCAGCCAGCACCGACAGGGAACATGCAGTAGATGCCTGCCTGGGCATTGCCTGTAAAGAGCTTCCTCCTCCTCCCCATGGCAGGAAGGTGGGGGCCAGGCCCTCAAATTCGTGGAAAAGACCAGTCTCTGCATGATGTCACAGGCAGGGATATTTCCAGAGACCAGGGCTACAGTTGGCTTTGTCGAAGGCGAGGCCATGAGCCTCTGGAGCCAGCAGTACCATTTCTCCCCCAGCGCTAGCACATACACCCGTGGCTGTAGTCACCCCCTGGCACCCCACCTCCCAGCTTGTGCATCTACGGTGCCATGTACTGCTCCCTCCTCTTCCACTCATCCTTCCAAGGCAGATACAAAGCCCACCACCTCTGTGAAGTCTTCCCTGCTCAATCCTTTGCCCCTAGACGTTGGAGCTTCCACCGGGATAAACTTTCATCCCCACCTGTCTGTCTCTCTGGTTCAATGGTGAGCTCTTGAGGGCAGCACTGTGCCTTACCTCTTTGTGCCCAGACTGGGACAGGACTCAGCACGGATCTTCCTCAACTTATGATGGGGTTAGGTGCCAACAAGCCCATTGAAAGTCAGAAATACCATAAGTTGAAAATGCATTTAATGAACCTGACCTAGTGACCATCACAGCTCAGCTGACCTAAAATTAAGCACTCAGAACACATATATTGTCCCATAGTTGGACAAAATCATCTAACACAGGATTTATTTTTGAATACAGCGGTGACATACTCATGCAATTTATGAAGACAGTTCTGAAAGTGAAAAATAGCCCATAAAGGATCATTTGTTTACCCTCCTGGTGCCTCACTGACAGGGCACTGCTGCCCCTGACCAGTATCACAAGACAGGACCCTACAACGGTCCTGTCTACGAGTATCACAGGGCCGGGGGTTAAAATCAACATTCAGAACCCGAGGTACAGTCTCTATGCATTGCCGATCCCTTTTGCACCATTCTAAGTTGAACCGTCACACGTCAGGGTTGTCTGTACTGTGATGGCATCTAGGAAAAGTTTATGGAGCAAATAAACACGATAATAATCATAATAACAGCTACTATTTATTGAGCACTTATTGTTTGCCAGGGATCCTCTAGGCACTTCACACACATCAGCTCTGGTAATTCTCTCAGCTCAAGGACTCTCACAAATAAAGGAACCGGGGCTCCTTTCTCCTGGAAGCTCTCCCCCAGAGCCGCAGACCTCTCCAGCTTCAAGGCAGGGGCAGGGAGGAAGCAGTGGGGGCACTTCGTTCCCTGACCCCTTGGGCAAGCAGCCACCATGACCAGGAATTACTGACTTCAAGGGACAGAGACCCCATTTGTGAGTCACGGAAATGTTCTAGATGTGTCCTTGTTCTTCTCAAGTAATCAGCGCTGCTGCCCTCCCTGCTCCCTTCTGGCAACTGAGTGTCAGACCCAAGTGTCCCATGGTCCACAGAACATCTCTGACCACAGGGACACCTCAAACTCAACCTGCACCCAGGGGAGCTCCCAAGAAAGGGCCCAACCTGTCTAGGAGAAAGGTCTGGGTGGGGCAGAAGCACCTGGCAGTCTTGAGGGTGTGATTAACTCAAAGAGAGGAGAGAGTTGAGGAGGGAGAGCTGGGACTTAGGGTTTATGAAGCAGCTGCAGCATGAGGAGCCTGGAGTACACTGGAGCAGCCAGGCCCTTCCTTCCCATGGCCTCTCCCACCTCCTACCCATAAGGAGGGCGAGGCTGGCAGTTTGTCTCCAAGGGCAAGCTGGACCTGGCACTTCCTGCGGCTCCCCTTTCTCACGTCACAAGGCTCACCTGTGACCCATGGTCACCTTGGGTAGCACCCATCTTGGGTAGCTCCCCGCTGTTGCCTCAGCAGCCAAGGCCAGCTCAGATGTCACCCGCTCTGCAGCATCCATCTTGCCCCTCCCGTGCCCTGGCAAATTGAAGCATGGTGTCCTCAGCTGACAAGGGGAGAAAACCACCCCATTTTTCAATGTGCCATGACCAAGTCCCAGTTCGGTGCTGATGGATCTCTTGCATGCCGGGACATGCTGAGTCTCCTTTCAACAGCGCTGCCTCCCAGCCCGCAGCCCCAGCTCCCGAGCCCACACTGAACTGCATCTTGTGTTCCTGCTGTTTTTGTTTTCTCAAGTCAGCTTCTGCTTATTTAACTACACTGGGGTCTCCTTTAGCCACTGCCTCAACAGCTATTTATTCAACAAGTGTTTCTGAGCCCTGTTTCATGTCCCATGAGAGCTGTAACACATAACACACACTTAGCAGCTCAAAACCAGGAATGTATTCTCCCACAGATTCGGAGGCTAGAACTCCAGAAAGGGCCTTACCAGCCTCAGATCAAGGCCACACTCCCCAGGGGCGCGTTCCCTGCAGACCCTCTCTGGGAGAACCCAGTTTCTTACCTTTTCTGGCTTCCAGAATGCACTTGGCTCCTGGCCCTTCCTCCATGCTCAGGGCCAGCACACTGACCTCCTGCTTCAGTTGTCAGCTTGACCCTAATGCAGCCAAATTTCCCTCTGCCTCCTTTTTACAGGGACGTTTGTGACATTTAGGACTCATGCAGCCAACCCCGTGGACGTGATCAGAGGCCCATGGGCACCCACATGGGTACCCACACGGGCACGCTGGCCGGCAATGACCAACCTCGTACTTAAGTGGGTTGACTTCCCCTGGCTTTTTACACCACATGTTTGTGTTTCTTGAACACACAAGCCAACTTTTAAAATCTCAGAAGGGAAAGAACATGGTGACCAGGTGGTGACATAGCTATGGAAGGATGTTAACAGCATCTCACAAGCAGCGTGGAGTTCCAGGAAATGCCCCAAGAGACAAATATCTCTCTGACTCTGTTCCCTTCCTCCTCTGCTGAAGCAGCCCCCAGGGTGGGTTCTCTAAGAAGCTGCCACCACCCTCCAGAAAGATGAGGAACATTCGAGCTCCTCTTCCGAGGCAGGACCAGCCCAGGGTGGAGAAGCTGTCTGGACCAGCAGGATTCCTGAGGCACGTGCTCTAATTACAAGCTGAAGCCTGAAGGAGCCTCATTGTGCACAGCTGGAAGGAGCCGCAGGAGGAGGCGAAAAGAACTGATTGTTAAAATGCTCCTTCACCCTCCTCCAGCAAGGCTCCTGCAGGAATCTCCCCAGCTGCGTCTGCTCCAATCTCTGGTCAGAGCCACAGGTATTTGTTTGACAGGCTCTGTTGTTTCGTAGTGCTGTTTGTTGACTGACTGCATGTACTCAGGTATGGACAGTAGCCTTTGTTCTTTTTTAATAACAGTATGAAACATACAAGTTTTAAAATGTATTTATGCCAAAGATAGATAATGTGTTGGGAATTTTATCCACAAGAACCAAAAACCTAACTCATTGAATTAAGAAAAAAGAAAGGCATTTTGGCTCACATTACTGGAAATGCACCTCTAGCTTCGCTTCAGGTATGGCTGGATCCAGAGACTCAATGGATGAAATTAGAATTTTTACTTCCTTGCTCTCCTCTGTGTATTCCTGTGTTAGCTCCATTCTCAGACACACTCCTTTATACAGTATCAAGGTGGATGATCAAGGTCTCAGAGTGTGTCCCATCTCTCAGGACCCCGAAAGAAAGGGAGCCTCTCTCACATGACTATTCAAACATCTGAAATTATCTAACGGGCTTGCATTGGACATTCTTGAGTCATGGTCCTTCATGAACTAGTCCCTGTGGCCATAGGGATGAAATAATGATTGGCCAGAATCAAGTGTTTATTCCAGGATTGGGGGAGCAGCCTTACCCCCCAAAAGTCATATTGAAAGGAAAGGGGGTAAGGAATATTGCCCAAGAGCCACCAGAGAGCTGTTATCACACGAAGGAAGAATGTGTGCTGGCATAAACAGCAGGCACCCACTATGTGTGGTAGAAAATAAAGACCAGTCATTGTTCCACTGTGACAGGCATCCTGACAGACCCTCTGGATTATCTGTTCATACATGAGGAAATTCAGTCAAGTTCAGAGGATCCCCCAACCCACCAACGTGACAGTGATTCAAGTAAGAATTCAAGAGAAGAAGCAGAGGGAGCTTTGGCAAGATGGTGAGACTGGTCATTGGTGGTTCCGATCCATCTCCTATGGTGAGTGTGTCCCCAGATCCCCACCAACTTCTGAACAAATTCCTGCCCCTGAGCCCCTCCGGCCACCCATCCCTCATCCACTTGGTCTTCCATCCTCCTGTCCATTCACACATC